GCCGCTGCTTCCCCCTAGGGCGAGGGTTCCCGGGTCGCGTCCCTTTGCTCTACGACCCGAAAGGCTGGGCAGGTTGCGGCCAGGTGTCCAGGTGGGGAGTTGAGTTCGGAGCCCGGGTGCGGTGGGCAAGGCTGTAGGGCGGACTCTGCAGGACTCGTGGATGCGAAGGCCAGCCCTCGGCGAGGGGTCCGTCGGGTCCTCTAGATCTACTGTGTCCACCAGTTGGCAGGAAAGGCCAGTGTCCTCCCGGCCCGGCCTCCCCCTGCTGGCCTCGGCAGCCGCAGGGAGCGAGTCCGTTACTCCAGCGGTTGCCATCTCAGCCCCGTTCCACGCTCGAGCCCCGGGCGCGCTCCCGAAGGATGCAGAGGGGCCCGGGGCGCAGCGGGCCGCTGCTCACTCCAGCAGGTACCGTTCTGAAACGCTAACGAAACGAAAATAGGCTCAGTCCCACCTCTGCACAGGCGGAGGGACCCAACCCTCACCGCGACGGCGGCCTGAGACTTCGGGCCACTCCCTAGATACGCTGCGTGGAGCTAGGCGCGCGCCCCTGGGAAGGGAGGACAACGTTGGGCTGGGTCCGGCGACACCCTAATTATTAGAGACTCATTATCGCCTAAAGCCTGTTTACCATCAATTGGACACTTTAGCTCCTTTTATTTATAGCATCTCCCCAAGCAACGAGGAGGAGGCCCTTGCTTGGGATTTAAAACCAAATGACAGCAAAGCTCAAGAGAGGCAGAGAGAAGGTAAATAACACAGCCATGTGGAGAGGTCTCAAGTTAGAATAGGGTTCATTTATGTGGGCATGATTTGTAGCTAGTCTTACGGTTTTACTTTTTAATATTTTTACACCTTTCCAAGTTACTTACAATGTAGCTAACATCAAGCCCCACCGACCTTCTCAGTTTACAGTTTTGATTTCATCTAGTTTAATTTCACATTGGCCCTTATCCCCAGATCCTTAGAGTAAGATATTCTCTATTCTTGGCCTTGTTTATCTATTTATCAACAAGGCTAATTGCTATGTGTAAGTGGTGTACACATGTCGATGGGCCTGAAACCGAAGCCTGATGTAAGATAGCCTTGCTATAATACTTGTTTTCAGTCCCTAGTAACTTTTAGAAAACTAACAGAAAACTAGAATTGTCAATGATTATTATTTTCTTTTTTATTATAGAATAGATGCACTTACACTCCCTGCCTCCCTGCTAGGGGGATGGCCATACCACAATCCCTGCATTTTTTAAGCCACCAGGTGGAGACTGGAACCATGTAGTCAGTCATGTGGGATCCAGCTGCCTTAACCACTACCCCACCAGCCAGCCCTACAGTGGTCGACCTAAATGAGTCCTTAGAGCATCTGTTTTGAATTTTTCACTGTTTCACGAATGAGAGTCCCAGCGCAGTTTTAGTCACTTGTCTGTCAAATCACAGAACGCAAAGCTTGGTGTGTTTATGCCACGCTCAGTATACTTTTTCTTTCTAGAGAGATTTTTGCCATAAGCCATGAGCACTCACTGTAGAGACAGAAAGCGAGAAATCACCCCTCAGGGAGGGTGGACTTGAACCACAGTTGACTGTGTGGGAGTTCAGTGACACAACCATTTTGCCACCTGCTGGTTCCCAGTGTGCATTTTCTTACTGTATCATCCTGGAGTTGAGTTCCTGAAAGCCATGTGGCAAGTAAAGGTTTAAATCGTGTGTGATTTCCAGCACTCCTCCTAGGACTAGCGGCGCTGGCCGGGTCCTCAGTCAGCCGTTAAAGCTGAGCCACAGCAGAAAGGAGTCTGATTCTGGGAAACAGTGTATGCAGAATCACGAGTGTGTTAGGTGAGCGAGTGCTGAGAGTGAAAGAAAGGAGTCTTAGAATGGGTAGAGTTCATGCTGAAAACTACAGAGAACTGCTGAACTTTTTTTTTTTGAGAGAGAGGTTTCTGCTATAGGGCACGCATGCTCACCACAAAGACAGAGAGAGAGAGACAGAAAGTGAGAAATCACCCCCCAGGAGATGGTCACTCTGCAGTCCCTTCTCCCCCATTCACCTTTTGGGATGTTGGGGCACGCACGCACTCACACCCTGTGTGAGTTTAAGCCCTCGGGTCTGGGACTTGAACTGTGGTTGACTACATGGGAGTCCAGTGACATAGCCGTTACACCAACTGCTGGTCCCTGTTGAACATTTTTATAAACAGATAGTATGTTAAGTTTTTCTTTATTTACTTTGAGAGAAATTTTTGCTATAGGACATATGTGCTCGCTGAAGAAACAGAGACAGAAAGACAGAAAGCAAGAAATCCCCCCCTCACCCCCTGGTTGCTGGCCATGCCACAATCCCTTCTCCTCCATTCTCCTCTCAAGATTTTGGGCATGCATGCACACTTGCCTGGTGTGAGTTTCAAGCTGCTGAATCCTGGATGTCAAACTGTGGTCGACCTCATGGGAGTCCAGCATCTTCAGCACTAAGTCACCTGCTGGTCCTACGTTTTTATTTTATTTTATTTTATTTAGAAAAATCATGCTAGTGGGAAGGCAGAAGATGGGTTTGGAGATTGGAGGTGAGAATGGAGGTGGAGACCGAGGGGCAGTTTACTCCTTTTCAGAGAGGATAGGTTCCTAAATGAAGACTGGCATGGGGATAGAAAGGACATTCCCCAAACACCCACATGGAAGATTTAGCTCTTGACCTAGGGGAGTAGGGAGACAATAGTCTTAAGATAATGGCAAGGGGCCAGCAGAGAGCATAATGGCTAAGTCGCTGGACTCCCACATAGTCAACCACAGTGTGAGTCCCGGACCCAGCAGCTTAAAACTCATACCAGGCACATGTGCGTGCATGCCCAAAATCCTGAGAGGAGGATGGAGGAGAAGAGACTGTGGCATGGCCATCCCCTCAAGGGAGTGATTTCTCGCTTTCTATCTCCCCCGGAAGATGATTTCTCATTTTCTGTCTCTCTGGCAAGTACATGTGCCCTATAGCAAAAATCGCTCTAAAAAAATGATAGTGGCAAATACCTGACTTGGTTGACTCTAGAGGTGCAGTTAGTGGGAGAAGGGGATGAAGGAGATGGAGAAGCAATTCGAAGAAAGGACAAGTTCAAGGTCACAGAGACTTCGGAACATCCCCGAAGATGCTAGACAACTAAACAGTGACCTCTCTGAGCTGTGAATGTGACTTGAGAACCCCAAGCCAGCTTTTATTGGTTGAAGGCAAGAGTATATATTAGGTCATAGGGATAGTCGTGATGTATTTTTTCCATGTTTTTCTATGCAAAAATGTGTCATGACTTTCAGACAACCCAGTATATGACATGAGAGCCTAGGAGCAGGCCCCTGAGAGACACCAGTATTTACAGACAGTTGCAGAACATGCCCATGAAAGCTGCAGAGAAAAGGAAGAGAAGCAGGAAGGGTTCCAAGGGAACCAAGGGTGGAGAGGACTCTACGGGGGCAGGCGAGGGAGGCAGCAGGGACAGAAGAGGCAGAAGGCAGCAAGAGAACTGAAAAGCTGTTATCAACTCAGACGTGGTGAGTAGGGACAGTTCCAAAGAAGCCAGGATAGAAAGAGTAAGAATATAAGGTTTTCATTGCTGCCCCAACGGATTGCCACAAACTTAGCGGCTCTAAGTAACACAGTTCATTTCTCTCAGTTCTCTAGGTCAGAAGGGACACCGTGCTCACTGGCTAAAGTGGCGGCGTGGTCAGGGCAGCATTCTTCGCTGGAGGCTCTAGGGAGAATCTGCTTCCTCGTTTGTTCAGGTTGGTAGCAGAATTTCAGTTCCTCGTGGTTGTAGGACTGAGATCCCCGGTTCCATGCTGGCTGTCGGCCGAAGGCCGTTCACAGCTTCTAGAGGCCACCGCCATTCCATGGCTCTCTGCCCCTCTTCCTTCATCGTCAAGGACCCCGGGAGCGGGAATCCTCACTCTTGAAGGCACTCACTTCTGCACTGTCTTCGCACATCTCGCTCTGACTTCCGGTTTGAAAACTTTTCCCCCTTTATTCATGGAAGAGTGCACGTGTG